CGTAGCCAGGAATTCGGAGGCAGCTGATTTTTTGCTGCTTCCACCAGTAGGCTCCTCCCAGGAAGTCCCCAGATCAAATGTAATTTCTAATGTTGGATGTTCCCCCTTACCAGAGGGCGCCCCCTTGTGGAGTACTGTGACGCCATTACCATGGCAACTCCACTGTGCTGTACAGTAGAAGCCATTTTAAGGCACAACAGGCTGCATCTTAACAGAACACACCCACTGAGGGGTGTTAGGGGTGTCTTACCCCCACAGTGTTTGTTTCCAGAGAGTAAGTCATCTATGTACCAAGTTTGGTTGAAACTGCTCGAGGCTTTCCAGAGTTATGCTGGAACATACACACGCGCACACACACAGCCATTTTTATAGAGAGAGAGATTATATGTTTGATCCAAACAAACTGTATAGCAACGCGGTTCATTTCTCACACCAACTTGAAGTCGAGGCAAAACTAATTTAATCAAGGGGCAACTCATTGCACAGCTCAAATTCTAGCAACGAGGAAGCGAACGTCCCCAGCCCTTCGGAAAATTTACTTTCTCTGTAATATCCCATACATTTCTAGAAGATCCAACCATATCCATCCCCCACAGCTCCTTCCCTTCAAGCTAATTGCATCCTTCCCATTCCCCTAAAGCAAGGATAACAATTTCAGGTTTATGAGCAAGTATCCCACGGGCAACATTTGGCTCTTAAGCAAAAAAGCACTTTATTGCAAATGGGCATTTATACAAGGAAGTCAGTTCAATATGAAATGTGGTACAGAGTAAGCCTGCAAAGGAAGAGAGAGGTTTCTAGCCAGAGGCAGAAAAACAACACCTTCTTCTCCAGTAGATGGACTGAAATTTTTAAGCCAACAGTGTCTTCGCCGTCAGCATCCCAGCAGCCATTAGCAGGGTAGGAAAGGAACGTCACTTCCTTAAAGGCTTAAGAGTGAACAAGCCTTGTACCTAACAAGCAAGGGGAGTCCAAGCTCACAATATCTCACGGTATCTAATAGGGGGCAAAATATGAAAAATTCTGGGCCAGGCTGCTCTTCTCTTTATTTTCCAGTGACAGCCGGCTTTTCTTGGCAAGTGATGGGAATGCTCCGTTCCAGTGCGGGGGTTTTAGTGGGGGCAGTGATGGAGAGCACTCCCTCGGGAGACAAGGCGGAGGTGATAGCTGCCGGATCAACTCCCTTGGGGATCATGTAGCGACGGTGGAACTCCCTGGAGACGTAGCCGTGTTCGTCCTGTAAGAACAGAATGGGACAAGAGGAATGAATGGCGAAATAGGGAAGCGATGTTACCCGATACTACAGGTAGTCCTCGCCTTACACCACAACTGAGCCCAAATTTGCTACGTGAGACCATTAAATGAATTTTGTCAGCTTCCTCGCCACAGTTGTTAAGTGAATCACTGCAGTTGTTAAGTTAGTAACATGTTGGTTGTTAAAGAGAATCTGGCTTCCCCATTCACTTTCCTGATCCAACGGTTACAAAAGGTGACAGTAACCATCATGAATATGAAGCAGTTGCCAAGCATCCAAATTTTGATCATGTGACCATGGGGATGCTGCAACGGTCATTATGGGTGAATGGTCACTAAACAAGTAAGTCAAGGACTATCTGCGTTCATTCACTCTCAGCTCAGAGTATTTTTTCTACTTGCCTTTTTACAAACTACTAGGTTGGCAGAAGCTGGGACAAGTCACGGGAGCTCACTTTGTTACGTGGTGCTAGGGATTCGAACCACCAACTGCCGACCTTTCTGATCGACAAGCTCAGCGTCTTAGCCACTGAGCCACCGTGTCCCCTCATGTTGAAGACTACTAGTATATAAATTGTAGCATATTAACCCAAGGGTAGGATTAAGCACTTTGTGTAAGATCAACCTTTTCATATCACACCCGAAATGCATCTTTGTGTAAAAATGCTGAGGAGTGCAAATTCAATTTGCGTTCCAAGCTAAACACAGGTTTAAAAATGCGGCTTTAAAATACGGTTTCACCCACGCCTGTCTGGTGTTTTTACAAGGTAAAACGGCAGAAGGTGTAACAAGCTACATACCGGACGTTCCTCGTGTTTAGCGTGTACTTCGATGTAGTCGCCTACCACCTTCACATTTATCTCTTCGGGGGAAAAGTGCTTCACATCCAGCAAGACAGAGAACTTATCTTTGTCCAGCTTCATCTGGAAACAAGGATGGGGAAAAAAGTGGGTGAGAAACTACCGGCCTTTCTGAATCTAGCAGAGAACATTTGCTTGGGTAGTTCTGCAGACACACACAATTCAACTGTATTGATTTTTAAGCCATAGGTGTTCAACCTTGGCAACGTTAAGACCTGGGGACTTCAACTCCCAGAATTCCTCATGGCTGGCTGGGGAATTCTGGAAGTTGTAGTCCATAGGTCTTAAAGTTGCCAAGTTTGGATACCCCTGGTTTAAGCCATTCCCACTAGAAACAGATTCCACCCGTAATTTAATCCCCAACCAGAAACAGCTTTATGTCTATACAATGCACACATAGCCCATGTTTTCATATTTTTAAATCCACGGCTCTTTAACACCTGAAGGTTACCAGGACTGGTTTCAGCTCAGACTTCCATAAATCATCTTTGAACACCTTTCTCATTGAGCCACAATGCCACAGGGCTTAGGGTGCAGTACTGGAGGCTAGTTCTGCTGCCTGCCGGCAATTTGGGAGTTCAAATCTCACCAGGTTCAAGATTGACTCAGCCCTCAAAGGTAGGTAAAATGAGGACCCAAACAGTTGGGGGCCAATATGCGGATTCTGTAAACTACTTTGAGAGGGCTGTAAAAGCACTGCAAAGCGGTATATAAGTCTAAGTGCTATTATCCTCGGCAGCAGGTAGAATGCAAGATTTCCACCCACCCCCACCCCCCACCTCTCAAGGAAATCCAGCAATAGAACTGCCTGGAAAACATGAGTGTGCAAGTATCTCATAGGCGCACAGATTACAAGCGTGCCATAGCTGTAGGGCATCTGTGTTTCTATAACAACCCATCAGAAACCATCCGCTAAGTTACATAGGATGGGGCCATTGCCTATGTTACTAGGCAATAGTCATCCATCAAAAAACTATTGGTCCAATGTCCAGCCTCTCTTGCTACAATCCAGATGTTAAGTTCCAAGTCTTTGTAGTTAGAAAATGATTTGCAAATGGACTCTTTGTAAGATCTGCATAAATCGGAGCACCCCGTTTGTCTGCATAAATTGGAGCACATATTTGTTAATTCAACCTGCAGAAAGAAGGAACCATGTTACTTGAATGGTTTCTTTCTGGGTTTAAAAGTTTAGTTGCTTGCAACTAAACTAACAGCCTCCTCACTGCCCAACTCTTCCATGTTCAATAATGGAAAGAAGGCAAGAAGTCAAAATCCAGGGAAAGAGGTGGTGCTCTGCACCCCAAAAGCTCCCCAGGGTAGGATTTTTTGGCAGGGGAGGGGGAGAGATAGTAGTTTAACAGGATCATCATCTATCCTGCTCCAGAGAAAAGTATTGTGAATTTTAACTAACAGGTGAGTTCGGAGAGTCCCCTAAGCCACAATCTACAGAAGAAACTGTAGCTGGCCAAGTTCATGCGATCCATCAAGCTTAAGCAATGATTGACAAGCCTTCATAGGTGGGTTTACTTAACAGGAGCCAAAGTAGCTCCTTACTGACTTCACAAGCCAAGTTGCAATCCGGCCAAGGAGCAGCTTCTTCTGTTACTGGCTTTCTAGTCAAGGGAGCCAAGGGGAAGGACAGGCAGCCATCCAACAGGATAGTGTTACTTCTACGCCTTTAGGGCTGCCCTGTGCCAGTCCGCCGGCCTGGAGGGCAATTCGGTTGGCATTGTCCTTTCGGCTCGGCCAGGGAGAAAGAACCTTACCATAATAGGCAGCGGGCTCTGTCATTCCGCCTGGCACCCCCTTCCGTGCCTGCCCCGCTTCCTTTTACTCATGGCCCCGGCCCTTTTCACCCCTTTGCCCGCTAGATGCACGCAGCCCCGTTCCCACGGCGCCCTCAGCACGCGAGTCCACGGCGGAGGAGGGGGAGAAGCACAGAACAAACCCACCCAAGATCCGGCGAAAGAGTCCTTTCCCAGGGCGGCCAAATGGACAGCCGGTTCCCCAAGACCCTCCCAGTCCCGAATAGAGAGATGGGGAGGAGAGAGAGAGGGAGGGAAGAGAGAGGGAGGAAAAGANGCCGATCCCCATTCTCTCCCTGCTCCTGGGAGAAGGATACTGCAAAATCTCCATTTAAATGTTTAGGAAGTAATTTGGACAGAGGTATGATTTAAGATGTTATAGATAGCTATAGATAACTAGAATACAGAAGAACCTAAAACCTATAGAAGAATCTAGATCAGGGGTGTCGAACCTTGGCAATGTTAAGAGTTGTGGACTTCAACTCCCAGAATTCCCCAGCCAGAATTCCGGGGGTTAATATCCACAAGTCTTAACGTTGCCAAGGTTATAGACATCCCGATCTAGAGATTCAATATAGAATCTATAAATATGTAGGGCAATGCTATACCTATACACCAAAAGCCAAATAGGGATAGTTGTAAAGAGGAGGGGAAATCACATTTAGAGCAAAGCCAAATGTAGAAAAGGCAATGTGTCAAACTCCCAGGAAAACAATATGCCAAATTGCATGTTAAATCTTTGCAAAGGGCAGACTTTTTTTAAAGCTGTGTGGCACCAACCCAACAGTTGCTCCAGAACTGCATCTTGAAAATATGTGCTTTCACTGTTGGCTAAATGTTTAAAATAACTTTGGTAGCTTTCCATTGGATTTGCCACACCTAAGGTATCTTGCGTCAATGCCACCCACCTCCTTCACAATCCATTCAGGGAAGAATGCAGTTGAAAGCCATCTCTACTCCTAATTCTGGGTGGAGATTAGCCTTTTTTTTAATGTCCTCATTAAACGTAATATAGGCAAGTAGCAACAGATTTGAGAAGCAATTCCTTTCATGGACATTGTGTATCTGGTTGTATGATGTGCATCCAACCTGGCTGCAAGATTCTCCTTGGCACAATTCAAAAGTCTTTTATTCTCTCTCTCATTAACTAAAAGCATTTTCTTTTTCTTTCAACCTGGGAGCTAGGAATTATCGTCTGTAAAGGATGGCTATTGATGTACACCTATCCCATTCCCTGCTCCTGCCCCCTTTCTGCAGAAGAGCCCATAACTTAATTCCTTCTCCTTAAGTTCATTAGCAGGGAAACCTTTTATGTGATGCTCTAGTTGATCATCCACAAGATTTGTTTTGCGCATCTGTCCCCATTCATTAGAAATTTCAGCTGTTTTCACAAAGCACAGATTTCATTTCGCCCTCCCCAACTTTGCAACATGGGCACGATCGACGAAAATGCAAATGATATGCCAGATATTGTAAAAATAAAAACCAAGGAGCACATGGAAAACTTGGACAGATTAAACATCAAGGCCAAGCTAATGACAACAGATGCATCAACCAGCCTTAGGTATTGAAACAAGCTGATAAACACCAACATTTAGGATCTACCGTTTTAGTGTCAAGAGACCTTTATTGGCAACTAGCCGATAACCTGGCATTGTCCGGGTATTTATGTATAGGGGGAAAATGTCCAGATCAAATGTAATTTCTTTTTTTTTTTTCAGAACTTTTTTATTTTTCTTTAAAAAAAAAAACACAAATATGTCATCATTTGTCAATCATTAA